GAGACAAGAGGCAAGTGCTCTGCTATGGAGGGAGACCCCGGGCCCAGGGAGGGCAGCCTGGAAGCTGGGCTGCTCCATGTCCACACCCCCTTGCCCGGCACATGGCTGGGTACCTGGGGGGGTGGGGGCGGTGTCAGCTGGATAACTGGCCATCTGCCAGGCTCAGCCACCCAGCTGTGGTCTGTCTTTGCCTTTACTCCCCCTTGCCCGCCACCCCCAGGCTGTGTGTTCATATGCAGAGAGCACTGAGTGCCTGGCATGGGTGGACCTGGTGGATGTGGGCATCTCTGGTTGCTGGCTGACCACTGAACCAGACTGAGCTGGGGAGGAAGCGTGGATGTGGGAGGAGCTGGAGGTGGGACCTCAGTCCTGGGGGTGAGGGGACTGGACTCTGCTTCTTTGTCGGACACATGGAGAGGGGCTCTGGGCCCAGCAGTCACCCTACCTGGGAAGAGGCCGCCGTCCCGGAGGCAGAGACAAGCCTCTCTACACCTCGTGCCCAGCAGGGGGGTGGGAGAGGGCGGAGAACCGGCTGCCTTCGGAGCCCTGGTGATTAGAGGGCAGCTTGGCAGAATGTGTGAGGGGGCCCTGATGCAGACGGGGTTGTGCCATGGAGTCTATTTCGAGGAACGCTCCCCAAGGAAGCAGGGAAGGATGCATCAGCAAATATAGCTACAAAGTTCTCCACAGAATAACAACGGGAAGTTTGACATCGGAAAGTGAACTGAGTAAAGGGAGCCAAATATATGGTAACAAGATGATTTGGACAACAAAATAAAGGTAGACTAAAACCCAGTTACAAGATGGTGTGTAAGGTGTGACATATCTCAGCATCAGTTGTCCCTGGTGAGGGGATGAAGTGATTTCATTTCATCCCTTTGCTCATTTATTTTCTTTTTCTCAAAATCGGTAACAGTCTTTTAATAGACCAGGGTCATCAGGGCTGGATCTGAGGAGTGTTGTGTTGGGGGGTGAAGGGGGGGGAGGCTGTCATTGGCCAGGACACAAGCACCCTGAGGGGGTGTTGCAGAGAGCTCACCCCGCTTCCTGTCTTAGCCCACTAATACCTGAAATTAGTCTGTCAGCCCTTCGTCTCAGCAACAGGACCTGATCCTCCTTAAAATGTAAATCCTCCTCCCTCTTCTCCCACCTCCTCCATTTTTATAAGCTGATCCCAGTCGCTGAGTGAAGAGAGGATGCAAAGGGGCGCGGACCCTATGAGCCCAAAGTCTTCACGTTATAGAGACTAGAGTCATTCATTCATTCATTCATTCTGCGGATATGGGGGAGGCCTGCGCTTTGTGGAGACACTGGCAGAACTGAACCCTCTCCACATCCCCATGTGGACAATGGGAGGCACCATATTGACCCCTGCCTCTTGGAGGGGGCGCATGACGAATCAGCCCCCTACGAAGTGGGTTTTTTTTTTTTCTTTCTTAATGTTAAGATGAGAAACAGAGGCAGAGAGAAGCAAAGAGCTGCTTGCGCGGATCTTTATTCATAGCCCCGGCCTGTCCACCTGGGTCACCGTGGCCCCGGTTTCGTTCGAATTCGACGGCTGTCTTTTAGTGGTCGAAAAATATCGCGATTTTGGCACAGTGAGTCGTATGGAAGAAGCCCTACAATGACGTA